TCTCTCTCTCTTTTTAAAGGCATTTAGCTATTGTTATTCATTTATTTATGTTATGATATGTGTTTGCAGCATGTACTGATAGTTTTGGAACCCCACGTACACTTAAGGAGGTTTGGAAAGCCTCGCTGGACGGCTGCTGCATGTATAAGTGTGAGAACGAAGGCATAGTGCCGGTGGAGTATAACTGCAGTAATATCCCTCAGCCAGTCTGCATGCGTACAGGAGAGATTACTGTCAGCCTTGCAGATGACAGCAGCTGCTGCCCTCACAAAGCCTGTGGTCTGTTACACAATCATTTCACACATATCTGCAGAAGGGCTGGGCAGAATGATTGTACATTTGTAAAAATGTACTGTGTTTACATCCATCAAGTTAAAATAAGATGATAAAGTCTCTTTTATTTTTAGCATTTAATTCACCATATTAAAAAAGAAAATAGACATTATTACATGGTGATGGGATTTCTAAAACATTCTGGAGTTGAATTTCCAGTCAAATGACTAAATTCAAAACAAAATTGGTCATTTTCTGCCCAACCCATGTATGTATTAATGTAACTCATGTATTGATGTATATAACTAATGTATTATGTAACCATTATGTAATAAGTCCAGATGGTTTTTCAGAAACTGTTTAGTTCATGCTTAATGTTTTATGACAGTTTGTAATCAGAGTATGTGTGAGACGGCTCCTACGAATTGTAAATATGGGGAGAAGCTGGTTTCGTATTATAGGCAGGACTCCTGCTGTCCAGAATACTCATGTGGTAAGTTTGGACATATTTTGTGTCTTAGATTGTGTGTTTGAGTCTGTGTATCTGTCCATGCATGCAGGATCGAGTTTGTTTATTGTCTTTTTAGAGTGTGATCCTGATCAGTGTGTCTCGGACATTCCTGTGTGTCGCGAGGATCAGACATTGATCGCTACTCGTGCTGAAGGTAGCTGCTGTTTGGCACACATCTGCAGTAAGTCATTTTGATTAATGTTAAAATCATGTTGTTCCAAACCCATATGATTGACTTTCTTCTGTGGAATAAAAAGTGAGAAATTGTTAAGACTTGTACAATAGATAT